TGTCAGGCTCGAGGAGGAGCCTCCGCCGCCTGCCCTTTTACTTTCGGGCGCCGGCACTTGGCCGCAGGCTGCCGCCGCTGCTGGCCGGGCCCCCCCCTCGCCCCCTCCGCTATGGGCACCCCGCACTTTTAAGGCGCCGCCCCGAGGTGGGGGGGGGCACGGGGAATTAATTAGAAATCGCTATTTACGTGGTTATTCATTGCCCCGCTCCGGGTATGTGAACAACCACCCCCCTGCCCCCCCCGCCTCCCCTTCCATCCACCCCCAGCGCCATGCCGGCAGCCTGCACCCTGCTGCTGCTGCTGGGCTTGGGGCTGGTCCCGGTCCCACCGGCCGGCTCGCTGCCCCTCGCCTCCCCACGGCGTCTTCCTCCACCTCCCCCTCCTCCTCCTCCGTCCCGAAACCGTCTCGGCCGCCCTTCCTCGCCTCCCGCCGCGGGACACGGCGGCAGCCCGGGTGAGTGCCCCGCCATGGGGATGGGGACCGAGGCAGGGACGGGATTTCGGCCCGGCAGCGGTGGCGGTGCGGGGAGAGTGCGCGGGGTCCCCATCGTGCGGGTCTCTGGTGGAGCGGGACCCCGCACACTCCCCACAGCATCGCGGCTGTGGGTGCCGAGCATCCCGACATCACCCAGAGCCCATTCGGCTAAGCGTAACACTCTCCCCACAATTCCCCTTTTTTACCTTGCTCAGCTCATCGTGCTACACGCAGCTGCTTCAGTGGGTAAAGGCTTGGGATGGGAATGGTGGGTGGGAAAGTGTAAACACGTTGTAGCTGTGTGGACTGACTGGAAGACGAGTGGTGGAAACTTCACAGAGGAACTTGAGAAAGGTTTTGGGAGGCACCAGGAGTACTGTCCACATGTGTCTACCCATCCAGATGGGAAATTGGGGGCTCCTGTGGGTGGTATTCAGGGTCTAGGCTGCCTCCTGCTTATCTCCAGAAAAGTTCTCATCTCACTTAGGTACTGACCCCTGTCAGGTAGGGGGACAGATGCTATCAGCTCTCTATAAATACCCTCTCTCTGTCTCCATCGCCTACAGACTGTCAGATTATGTATAAAGTCACATTTTTCTTTGCATGCCACATCTACAGTGCTATTATCACGAGCTATGCCTAGTTTTGTGCTTTACAGATTGTGCTGAATTTGGTTTCAGCACAGGAGAAACCTTATTTCTCCCAGAACAAGCAGGGATGTTTCAAGTGTCATTCAGTAAACTGACTTACTCACCAAGGAAGGCACATAGCTCTAAGGATGACTAATTCTCAATGAGTTTGGAAAGCACTGGGTGTCTGCAGGTGGTATAAGGAATCCAATATATCAAATTAGTCCTGCGTAGGTTTTAAGTGGGTTTTAGGATTCATTGCCTGCCTGAGCTGGACTGTCAAATTTTATCTTTTAATTTTTGATGTGGAGAGAATATTGTGCTTTGGAACTTGGGGTTAAGTTTAGTTGTGTGAAGCTGTAAAATTTCAGGAAATGTGACAAAACTACATTTATAATTTTTAGTTTTCTTCACAAACCCAAGGCGTGCCTTTGTAGGATGTATCCTGAGTAGACCAAATGTATAGCTGGGGATATCAGCTGGAATGTAGCCTGCAGTGGATTAGAAAGCTCCTAACTAGCAGTGCTTGTGAGAGCAGCTTTGTGGCTAGGATACTGCATGGAAATGAAGGAGATTTGGGTCTGTTCCCAGCTCAGCTACTTCTTTGTGCCACTCCAAGTATCGGTTTGCCCTCCAAACTGGGAGAGAATAATGCCGTTTTACCTGCTACCAACCTTGTGAAGATAAAATCTGCAACTTGCCAGCAAACTGCTCACCTATTATTTGATGAAAGCTGTGCAAATTCCTCGGTGGACAGAAAAAAATATTTAATTTCATCTCAGCTTTCGGTTTGGCATCTTTTCCTGTGACCTTGATGACTCCTGAGAGTCAGTAGAGGAATGCATTTCCTTTGTTAAGAGTCTGAAAAGCTCGAACTATCTGTCCACATGCTGGAAAAACCATTTGTCAAGCCACCAGTGCCTGGCTGCCCGGCTCAGCGGTGAAGGCTTTGCTCAAGTAGCTACAGGTGCTTGTGAATTATGTCAGCCCCAGCCAGAAGGAACAGGGGATGCATCGTGGAGGAGTGATAAATAGCCCAGCAGTAGCTCGCTCCCCAGCAAACGGCATCATGAATTACACCGGGTCCTGACAGCTGCGATTCACTCGCTGTTCGCTGCAGCTCTACGCCTGTCAGTCAAGGGATTGTCTGCTGTTAGGGGAGCAGGCTGGCGGATCTCCTGAACCGCTCTCAGGTTGAGCTGTGGATTCCTGAGAAATCCCTGTTTGTGTCGCCGCTGCTCCTGCCCCTCGGAGGCATTTCCCACCTCTGAAAACACTTGCTCGAAGTGGGAGCGTTTCTTGTGAACCCATCACCCTGGCACTACCAGGAAACGAAGATTACATCTCCCTTTGCAACAGTCTGAGCCTGGGCGGCAAAAGCCCTTTCTCAGGCGGGGCTTAGTGAGCAGATGGTGAGGCGGTGGGTGTAGAAATGGGGCTTTTGAGTCTCTCACAAAGCTTGGGGCAGGGGAGCAGGGCTGCCCTCGCAGCCTCACTGCCTTCCCGGCCGGCTTGTGCCTCAGCCTGCATCTGCCACCCTCCCTGCCAGACCCTCTGTGGGCTTGTCTGCTGCAGAGATGAGGACAGATGGCTTCATCCTGTGTTTAAAATATGGTCTGAACCCAAGGAGAGTAACACAGGAAAAAGAAATTAGGTGAAGTAGGAAGCAAGAAAGCTGGTGATAGTAAAGCTAAAGCATTATCAAATCCCTCCATGAAATCTCTTCTGGCAGCTACTTCACATGGCCACTGAGTGAGCTGAAGGGCACTGTCTGCCACCAGCCTGGGTGAGGTCAGGGTTTGGTTACAAGCTCTGTCCTCCTGCAGGTCTCATTATTTCAGGTTTCCCATCTGTGAAATGAGAGTAATTCCAGTGACACCACAGGGACACCAGAGGTAACACCGAGCCCCTGACAAAATCACTGTGGCTGGGATCTCCCTGCCATGTCCCTTTTCCTGCTACTTCTGCCCACACAGGTGCCCTGCCACGGTGCCCAGCACGGAGCTGCTGGCACTGGGCTTTCCCTGGGAAGCTTTTCTGCCATCTGTGTCTGTCCTTCTGTCCCTGCTCCCTCTCTCCCATGGCAGATGCCACCTTCCTATGCGGCTTCCCTGGTGGGAGCCCTGGAAATGAGGTGTGAAATCACCTGAGAAGGAACCAGCCTTAGTTGCAGCAGAGATTTAGGCTGGCTGTTGGGAGAAACTTTCCAAAACTCTTAGAAGGGGTAAACAGTCTGCATTTATTTATGTGTATTTTAAACTTTCTGTCTGAAACTTTCTTTGTGTGAACAAAGCAAAGTTAGGAGCGAAGGAAGAAGATGCTGAGGATGCTTGTTTGCACAAAGGTACGGTGTTGCCTCCAAACCTGCCTCACATTTTGCAGTATGTATTTTGTGGCTCCTCGGGACAGAAGCCCAGCTCTCCCTGCAGCCACACTGAGGCAGAGAGCTGTAAGATGCTGCTCTCTAGCTTTGATGCAATTTCAGGTGACTGTGGGTGGTGCAGGAAGGATGCTTCCTCCCCCTGTGGTGCAGGGACAAGGAAGGATTGCCTCCCGTGCCTCTGCGCCGCTATCAAAAGGCTGCAGGGTTTTCCTGTCTTGGGCATCTTTGCTGCTCCTCTGTGAGCTCTAAGTGGATTTGGTTGTTGTGCTGTGAACATGAACTCCCCGGGGTTGTATGGATTTAGCTCTGCTCCCTTGGGGTACATAATTTCAAGCAAAAAAAGAAAAGAGAAGGAAGAAAAGGCATTTCAGAAAAGGAGGAAGCTTGGAGATCAGCTTTCCTGCCTGTTCCCCTCTCAAGCCCTGGAAGGTAGCAGGGGTCGTGCACTGGGTTCGCATCAATTTGTGGAAGCACTTTATGTGATATTTAAGTGCTAAATGAGTACAGTCTGAGAGATAATTGTGTGACCTGGCTGGCAGGGAGGGCACAGTGATGTGTATTGACTGACACCGCTGTGCACGGAGATGTGAGCAGGGCAGTGGGAAGGGGAGAGCTGCCGTGGCTGAAGCCCATTACTGGGCTCTCCACAAAATCTGATTTCCCAGTACCAAACCACCAGTGCCAGTTTGTGCCCATTCAGCAGATGTTGGTAGCATGCTCTGCTCCAGCATTTGGAGGGATAATTTAACTGGCTTTATGCTTTTCTCATGGCTGGGGGGATGAGGGAGATGGGCTGTTGCTGCCACGCTTGCAGGGGCTGGTGCCAGCCTTGCTGGTGCATGGGTGCATTCCTCAGCAAATACTTTTTTCAGTATCAGAAGTTGCAGATACTGATCTATTTAGAGGAGTGTGAAGTTTCTGGGACATCTTGTTTCCTTCACCTGCTCTAACAGATACCAATTTTTCGGCTGCCAGTCAGCAACCCTCCCTGACCGAACTCTCAAGCTGTTGTATGTGCTCTCCATTCTCCCCATCCTGCTCATCTGCAGGGAGCCTGTTGGAGCTGCTGAGACTGACAGCTCCATCATCATCATCACATCTCTCAGAGATGGCAGAGGATTTTGTTTGTTTAGCAGGGGGGTTATGATGCCAGGTTAGAAAAGCTGCTGTTTTGGTGGTCGTAGAGAAAACGAGTGGATGCTGCTGACCATGCCTGTGCATCCAGAACATAAAACATGAAACTTGGCAGCATCGGTCTGGTTGTGTTGGTATTAATGAAGCATTCATCCATGCTAATCAAATAACCACAACAGAAAAAAGAGCTATTTCAATTAACAAGCTAATCAAGCCAATAAAACCTGCCAGTACAGTGATAGTGTTTCAGTGCTGTGGTGTAGAGATTAAGGCACCACCAACATCCACCAGCACTTCTGGAGCTACTGCTGGAGGAACCTCCTGGCTGGTGCTGTGGGTTCCCCATCGATGGGAGCTGTGTTCCATTTCCAAAATAAGGATAGCTACAGAGTGGCAAGGTTCAGCTGTGGCTGAGCCTGCAGACTTTTTGCAGCACAGAAATACTGTCGTTCTGCCTCTGTCTGTGTCCAGTCAAGCCACCTGGGGTGCTCCAGGTGGGGCTGCAACCCCTGAAATACCCCCAGAGAAATGATCTGGAGCTGGACAGACTGTAGATAGCCAGTGTAAACCCTCTGGATTCTGTGGCTTTCCTTCCTCACATAGTTTCAAGAGAGTTTCTCTGGTATGGAGGGGTGAGGAGTCTCTGGGGGTGTCAGGATATCTCTGGGCAGAGAAACAGCACTGCTCAAACCTGGGCTCATCCATTCAGACGTGCCAGAGCTCCTCTGGAAAGAGGCAGGGCCAGATCCTGGCACCTGCTCTGGCATCTTTCTGCTGTTGAAATGGTGCAAAGCAGCACTGGGGCAGTTTGACCAGCCAAAATGTCAGAAGGT